TATCTGAAGCAATCTGATGTGTTTCTGAGTGTTAGGTAGTTAACATTTTCTACTGAAGAGTCCCTTGTGTTAATATTGGTAACCATAGTAATAACATTTTAAACATTGCTGTTTTATTTTATTTTTTTTTTTAATTTTTGTTAAAGTTTATTTATTTTTGAGACAGAGAGAGAGCATGAACGGGGGAGGGTCAGAGACACAGAATCTGAAACTGGCTCCAGGCTCTGAGTGGTCAGTACAGAGCCCAACATGGGGCTTGAACCCACGGACCGCGAGATCATGATCTGAGCCGAAGTCAGATGCTTAACCGACTGAGCCAACCAGGCGCCCTGAGACATCGCTGTTTATATGGCTACTTTAATGAATGTCAGAAAATTAAATATGAGTTCCTTATAAAAACATAAGCCTACAAAATACATAAAGAATTAATATATAAAGCAATAATTCCTAAGACATCAACATGCAGGTAGACTAGTGGAAATTGGTATAGGAAGGGAAACTAAGATAATATAGAGACACAGAATATAGAGAGACTTAGAAATATCAACACAAATGTCTTATATTCTCAATACATATATAATTATAGTAGTAGAAAAATAGAAAAAGGAAAGCAGGTTAGGTAATGTCAGTTTTTAGATACTTCAAAGGATATTTTTATATATCTCACATAAAAAAATCCAAGTATTGGAGCTAGAATTCCATATTATTTAAAGAACCTGATATCTTATTGTATAAATTCTTATAAAAACCTAGAATATACCTGAGAAATTCTCTCTGTATTAGATATAGACAGTAATAGACATATCTAGAGTTCATTTATATAATTTGACTGCATACAAAGTACAAATAACAGTATATAGTTAATTAAAAATAACAAATGAAGGGGGGTGATGGCTGAAAGTTGAAGGGAAATATGTTGTGGCTCCAAAGTAATGGCGTTACTATGGCAACTCGATCCCATTATTAATATTTGTTTTTTTTTTTTTTTAATTTTTTTTTCAACGTTTATTTATTTTTGGACAGAGAGACAAACATGAACGGGAGGGCAGGAGAGGGAGACACAGAATCGGAAACAGGCTCCAGGCTCTGGTGCCATCAGCCCAGAGCCCTGAGCAGGGCTCAACTCACGGACCAACAGCAGATCGTGACCTGGCTGAAGTCGGACGCTTAACCGACTGCGCCACCCAGGCGCCCTAATATTTGTTTTTAAATGAATTACGAGATAGTTTTTTTTTTAAAAGGCCAAGATTTTTTTCAGTGTTATGGTGATTTATACAAATCTCTTTATTTACCTATTGAAGTGTCCTCTTTTGAATACTGCAGTATTGTGGCACATGAGCTAATAACTCTTAACTGTAATTGTATTAATCACAGAACAGTCTAGGAATGGCTCTGGGTCAATGCATGGAAAGGAATGCTAAGAGAACTAGAAGTTATCAAGACAGTCATTCTAAGAGTGCAATTTGAGGGAGAGAGCAGCAGAGATGAGTGTTGGATTCTAGTAATTCATTCTTTACCAGGTCAATACCACCACTATTTTGACCAAGATGATGTCATTTTATTTTATTTATTTTTTTAAAAAAGTTTATTTAGTTTATGTTGAGAGAGAGAGGGAGAAAGGGAATCCCAAGCTGTCAGCACAGAGCCCAATGTAGGGTTTGAACGCACGAACCGTGAGATAAGACCTGAGCTGAAATCAAGAGCCAGACACAGGCACCCCAAGACCATGCCATTTTAAGGGGTAACTTTTAATAATGCCTACCTACCTTCTAACCCTTCAGGGTCTAGTTTATGTCAAGTATTTGCCAGGAACTTGATACTTATTATTTTATGTAATTACCCTAATGAACTTGGCTCAGGTGACATTATTATCCTTGTTTTACAGATGACAGACAGAAGCTGCCTAAGGTCTTACAGGTTTGCCTGGCTTCAAACTCCAATTTCCTCCCATATGCTATAGAAGTGACCACAAAAGTACATAGTAAAAGCCACATTTTTTATCTAGGGCCTACCACATGACAAATTCTATTCTATATTATCCCTAATCCTCACAAAGACACTGTAAAGTTGTTATTTCTGATCTTCTGCCTAGTAGTTGAGGAAACTAATGATAAAATGTCTGGAACTCCCATGTTTAAGTTAATTGCCTCTAAATCCCTTCATTTTACCAATGTTTGTCTTATTTCATTCTAAACTCATTTTACCCTTTTCAGCTTTGCTATGGTAGTCTGAAATGATCCCAGTTCCCCTCTTGTCTATATCCATGGTCCTTTGGATTGTGGCTTCCCAATCAAAATATAGAGTCTTTTTCTCCCTTTTTATGTCTGGGATTGGCTATGTGACTTACTTTGGCCAATGAGACATAACAAACATGATACAAGCAGAGTCTTGAAAAATACTTGATCTTTGGGACTTGTCTGCCTATTGTTGGGAATCCTGTCATAATGAGAATGAGCCTGTGCTAGACTGCTTGGTGATGACAGCCATACGGCCATCATCCCAGATGACATTAAGGTGACTATCAAGCACGTGACTGAGTTCCTTCCCCTATAAAACCAACCAACTTGCTAGCTCCTAAACATCTAACTTCTAACAGCCAAGTTAGCACACACACAACTCAAGTAAGTGTGAGAACTATAATAAATGTTTCCTGTTTTAAACTACTACATTTTGGAGTGTACTGTTATACTACCGTACGCCTGATTTTACCATACTCTTCCCAAATCAGACTGGGATGTCAGAAGAAATGAATTATATTAAAGTCAACAACTTGCATAAATGGACCTCCATCTTTGGTAGGGACAATATTCTACTAAGGATTAACATGTCTAAAACAATGCACCAATTTAAAATTCATCTATTCCTCATGATGAAGGATTATGTCTTAAGCATCCAAGCAGTTAATCCATATTAATTTAGAGGCATTTCTGCTCCTTTTCCCTAAGTCTGTTCACTCAAATGCTATGTCTCTTCAGTATAAAATATGCATGCTGAAAAATAAGACACGGATGTCTTAAATGTAATAACTGAGGCCAGCACAGGGGACATTCAGAGAACAGATACACTCCCTTCTCCCTAGTGCATAGCCAAGGAAGCCCTGACAGAGGAACTGAAGACCTTGCCATAGTAGCAGACACGTTTCTAATTTCCCAGTAATCTTTTACCCGGATGACTGAAACTCCCTCCCCTCTGTTAATCTCTTCTTATCTACACTGGCTTCAGAGATCTTTTTCTTATACCAAGAACATAGTGTTATAACGCAAAACCTCACTAATTTAGAAAAACAATTTTTATTTTCATTTTGTTTTAGAAAAAAATTTTTAAAAATTAAAAGTATTGCAGGGGTCCCTGGGTGGCTCATTCAGTTAAGCATTTGACTCTTGGTTTTGGCTATGGTCATGATCTCATGGTTTGTCGATTTGAGCCCCCCTTTGGGCTCTGCACTGAGAGCATGGAGCCTGCTTGGATTCTCTCTCTCCCTCTCCCCTGCTCACTCTCTCTGTCTCCCTCAAAATAAATAAATAAACTTAAAAAAAAAAAAGTATTTCGTAACCTTTTTTTTCCAGGATAAAATATAACCTTGCCATGTGATACAGAATGCTTCCCAATCTGCCTTCCCACATCTTTTCAGTCTCTTCCTTGAGAACTGCTCTCATTTTACTGTGCACCATGCACATTTCTTTAAAATGTCACAACTTTCACAATTTTGTGTTTTGTTTCATTCTGCTTCCATTTCATGGAATTCCATTATCATCCCTTCTTCCTTTTCTTCTTGAAAAAGGAGGATGCATCCTTCAGAACCTAGGTTGTCACCTGCACTTTCAGTTACTTAAAAATCAGTGTATAAGTTCCTCCTATGTCCAAAGCATAGAGCAGTGGCTGGAGAAGAAATAATAATTATGACACGTTCTGTCCTTGAGGACCTTACAGAAGAGAAAGGGAAATATGCAGGCTGAAAAATAAGACACGGATGTCTTAAATGTAATAACTGAGGCAAGCACAGGGGATATTCAGAGAACAGATACACTCCCTTCTCCCTAGTGCATAGCCAAGGAAGCCTTTACAGAGGAACTGAAGATAAAGCAGAGCCTTCAAACACTGGCAGAAACTAACTGGGCAGAAAAGAAAAGGTAAGAGATTCCTGGCAGAGGAAGAAACATGTATAGAAAACTTGCTCATAAAAGGCAGACCTAATGACTTTTATTGTATCAAGTGATTGATACTGTTGAAGGTATAAGAAAATATCCTGAATCACTTAAATCTGAAAAACCAAATTAACCTCAGAATATTTGGTATTTATAAAAAAAAAAAGTCTATATCAATTTCATCAACTTTGAACATTATAATACATGTTGAAAATAATAATATTTATTTAAAAGTATAAAAATTCTGTATTTAGATTTGGGAAAACAAATGTTACTTTTAATTTTTATTTTGTATGGCTGGTCATTTTTAAAAATCTTTAAACTGATGGTATCAATTTAAAAAATGTAATTTTAACATACATTTTAAAAACTAAATGATCATATTAATGCCATAATGATTTTTTAAAACATAACAAAATATAAAATATTATGTTGCAAGGAAATAAATGTCAATATGACTTAGTTTAAAGCATCTTAATTTCTTTTAAAACAAGTAGAAGAAAGTTTTAGTAAAAAAAAAGTAATGGTTATCTGGTGATCTCTAAATCTCGGTTAGTTTTCAACTAGTCCTCCACTAGTTGAATCACAATATAGCTCTATTTCTTATTTTGTTTTATGAATATTTCTCAGAACGGTATTTCATACTTTAGTTTACGAATAAGATTTGCTCTTTCTGTTCTCAAATTCTTTATATACAATCCCCCCCCCGCTTTTTAAACAGGTACTGTATTGCAAAATACATATTTATAACTATCTATAATTTAATTAATTGTCTCCGTCAAAATAACAAATAGTTTCTTTTTCTTTAAATAATAATAACCATAGTAATAGTAATAATAATAATAAACAACTCACCTCTCACAGGGGGTCTTTCTAGCTCAGAGTCCAGGTGAATTGGAGGAGAGATGTATGACACCTGCCCATGATGTGCCTGCCCTGTTGACCCAAAAATAAATATTAAGAAGATATTGAAGTTACGCCTTTATACATATATATATTTGATTTGTGTGATATCACATTATCTTTCTTCACACTGAATTAACTGTCATCAAACTGTGTCGACAGATCTATTCAAACACAGGAGCATTATGCATCATC